AATTAAATGAAATAAAAATCACAAAAATATTCCAGAAGTGCCAAAGTCAATAAAAAGTGAAAATAAACCCCTTATGAAAGTTTGAACTTAAAACAAGAAACTTTTCCGAAAACTTTCTATAATTACACAAATGCCCCTTCACTAGATAACTCAAAAAATAAATTTCTCATAAAGCCCAAAATGAAGTTTCATTCAAAAGATACATTTAAAAGAACCTTAAACACAAAATTTTATCAAAAGATAATTACAAAAAATATCCCAAGTAAAGAAAAGAATTTTCAAGAATATTTACATTTATGCCCCTCCACTAGATAACTCAAAAAGTAAATTTCTCAAAAAGCCCAAAATGAAGTTTCATTCAAAAGATACATTTAAAAGAACCTTAAACACAAAATTTTATCAAAAGATAATTACAAAAAATATCCCAAGTAAAGAAAAGAATTTTCAAGAATATTTACATTTATACCCCTACGGGCAAAAGTAAACATCTAGCATGCTTTTCTACAAAAGTAAAAATGTGGATCACCTAGAAATCAAGTAAAATGAATACATGCAAGGTCGGAATCAAATCCGAACACGACCCGATAGGTTACGCAAAACGAAAAGATAGTGAAAAGTGACGGAAAAAGAAAATTCGAAGAAAGAAATCAACCGAAAAAATTTATCCGTAAAATTTAAGGGAATGGAAAAAAAGGAAAATGACCAGGTCATTACATATGAGGTCCTCAAGATACAAATTTCACAATGTAGAAAACCATATCTTACAAGTTACAAGCAACAAAAGTTTGTGGACAATCTTATAAATTAAACAAATTGCAGATTACAAACAAAAAGCTCTGTTTTTACAATAAATCCCTTTGAAGAAGTCAAAATGGAAAAATTACCCTTAGTAAAGAGAACTCATCTATTGTGTAAACTCAACTTTTAAACACTCCATTTGCTTTCCCACATACAAAAAGCTTGTTTCTTACTCCCATGTATATATTTAGCAAGACAAAAACATCAAAGAAAGTTTAAGGTCGAATAAAAAAAACAACCCACCAACCAATTAAACAAACAACAACAACAACATCAAAGCTGGCCCAGGGGAGTATAATATGACTAAGACAAAAGTAAAAAAACAATCAAACAAACAACAACAGCAACATCAAAGCTGGCACGGGGCACTATAATATGACTAAGTAATTGCTATGAACTTGCTAACATGGTGTGACACGGGCATTTAATTCCATGAACAACAGTCCATCCACGACCGATTCTTTCGTGCAATGTAGTTTCCATCTGTATTATTAAATTTTCCTCTGTTTAGGGGATAATATTTATACGTTGATTAGGTGCCCAATTGACATATAAATTTATTAGTTTATAGAGTATTTGTACTGATTTATCTGGCTCACCAATCTACTCTTTCTGTTTCTATTTCCATAAAGTGGTAGTACCTTTAAAATTTGGAGTTGGGAACCTTTAGGTCTCTCTGAGACAGAGTAGTTGAAATTTATCCAATCAACTTGAATTTTTATATAATCTGATCATATGTATATCATCTGCCACCTTATACATTAGACTCTTTTATTACCGATGATGAGAATGTTATCATCCTGTTTTTTTAATGATGACATATCATTGACAATTGATAAAGTAAAATTTGGGTAGGGATAGGGAGATGATATTCACACTCCCCTTAATGATAATGCACCCTTTTCTGTCTTTTTCTTAATTTAAATGCCAAAAAATATCTATAATACTTGATTCTTTCACAGCTAATATAATTTATTAAAAAAAAAAAAAAACTTTATTTACCCACATTGGAAAACTAATATTGACTTCATTTGTGTGTTTCAATAGTGTTATGGGACATCATAACATGTAAAAGGAGCAAAGAACGAACATCCAACCACACAGCTGACTCCAAACAACAAATTAGTTATCTGTTTGTTGAGTCGACAAAAATTAATAAGCATTTTTAACATTTTTCTCATTAAAAGACCAAAGATAGGACGGCCGTCCAACATAGCCAACTCTAAGCAACTAATTTAGTATCCCATAGCCATCAGATGCATTAAAGTGGAACTTACATGGATGTCCCTCAATGCATTTGATGGCAGTGAGACAATCATTTCCTATTCAAAATAATCTTGAACTAAAATTTGGTAATAAAATAAGATAATGGAAAAGTCGTCTCACATCATGCCTCAATGATCCATGGTCAATGCTATCTCCACCATCCCAGACGATACTCCTAATACATACTGGGTAAATTTTATTGACCTTTCCTATAGTTGGACAAAAATACACGTGCTATACTTGATTTTTTAAAAATTACTCTAATATTCCTTCAAGTTTACACTATATATATTAAAGAAACCTCCCTCCAGTTAACATTGATTGACGGTCGAAACCATCAGTAAACACTGTAATGTTTGTGTTATGCATATATATACATATATATATATATATATATATATATGTAATTGTGTGTGTGTGGAGTGAAGTTAAAGGCAAAAGAAAAAGAGAAAAGAAAATAAAAGAATAGGTGGGACCCACCACCTTCACCTTAAAACCACATTTGGTCTGTAGCTCTCTTCTCCCGCTACTCTCTCTCTCTCACGCCCTTTGTTTTTTTTTTTCTTTTCTTTTTCAATCAAATTTTAGAACTTAATTTCTCCCTCATTTCTTGGCGGATTAAGGTGCCGTTTGAGACAAAACGAAACTCACTACGAGCTCTATGCATCCATACGAACAATTCCAGATTTGGTGCCCTCCTTGGAGTTCGAAATTGAAGACCCATTTTAAGGGTTTTGTGCAAAAGTGAGGTAGGGGTTCTTAATTCCCGTTTTTCTTGCTCCTATGTGAATTACTCTTCCTAATTTGTTGTGAAGCATGCTTGATTGTGAATTAATTGTCTTGTGGATGATGTAGATGTTATATGAGAAGTTGTGATTAAATAGGCTATGTGAATTGTAGGTGAACGTGTTTATTTGGTTAATTTCTTGTCTCATTGTTGATATAACATGCCTATATTGTTTTAAAATTTGTTAGAAATGATATGTGATGGCATGTGTAATTTTTCATCAATATTTATACAGTATGTTCAAATGTGAAATATAAACCCCTTAATTCTATGGCATTGTGAAAGCAAGACATACATGCATACCATGGGTTATGATTGGGAAGATTGTTTGGAAATGAAAAAGGGGGATTTTGGAAAGTGTTTGATGAAAAATGTTTTATGAAAACCCGGTCGCCAAGGAGGTACCAAATGGTCGGAGTGTTAATATAGTTTAGAGGGAACTAGGGAGTCGCCCTAGCGTGGTTGAGCTAGCTGGGCCCTATAATGACGCCGCGGGGGTACCAAGGGCCAATGACACTAGCCAAACCTTCTCTCGTGTCGTTGCAGGGTCACCAAAGGGTGGGTTATATTAACAGTTTGAAAGTGATAATTTTTTAGATGTGAAAATGGGGAGCGACATCGACATGCATTGCATTCCCATTACATTATATTGTTTATATTTGAGTTGATTGTTATATGATATGATCCCGGTACAGTATGACTCCCATTCTCATTACTCTATTCTTTGGTTGAATTCACTGGGACATAAGAGGCGTGTCTTAAGTGCTACCTACTGAGCTTTATGCTCACCCTATTATTTAATAAATTTTTTTCAGGAAACGGGAAATAAGTGGCGGATGACTTTCCACCACAGGCCTAATTTGGATTAGAAGACTTTTTTTGCTATTTTTGTATTAAGTCCCATATTTTTGTAAAATCATAGTTTGTTATATTTGGTATAGAGATTTGTGAACTCTTATTATTGTAATTATATTTATGGATATTTGATATTAATCTTGTATTTTGGGGTTGTAACTATGTTATTTGGATGATATAGTATGTGGTTGTACCACTATGGAATGAACTAAGTTAAGGCATGATGAATGGATGAAAGGGATGTCGAAATGTATTATATGATATTTGTGTTGGGACAGGTTTAAAATTCTTTTAAACAGGTTGTTGTAGGGCGATTTTTAGCAGAGGTCATGCCGAATTTGTTTTGAAATTTTGGCATCAGCTAAGGTCGTTACAAATTTGGTATCAGAGTGATGATTCGAATACCATTAGGACGATGGGTAGAGGCTTACCTAAGATTGTCTGGGAAGTCAATTGCATTGTTATTTCCTTATTTGCAAAAGTGTTTTGCTATGTGAAAAAGCATGCTTAACTGCTTACTTGCTTATGTGCTTATGTGCTTATATTAATATGTTCATTGCGTAGTTTTACATGCTAAATGTTTGTACAATATCTTTTTGTGTTGGGTTGTTCACGATTGGACCTTAGTGTTATCGTTATTGAATTGTTTTCTTTGTTTTATAGAACAATGTCACGGCGTGAGGAAACCAGGGAAGTTGGCCCTAGACCGACTAAGGGTGATGTTGGCGAGAGCTCTAGCTCCAATCCGGAGGAGCTAAATGATGAGGACACACTTCTTAGGGACTTGATTCCCCCGTGAGTTGTCCCCACAAAAAGGGATAATGTTGAAGCACCCATAGAAGTGGGTGAAGGTTCTGTGGCACTGGAGTTAGATCGTTTGTTGCAAAATGCCGTGAGGGCAACAATTGTTGCTCGGTCGCAGTCGGCACCAAAACCTACAGTTCAAGTTGAGGAGATGCCAGCTCAGAAGCATCTCAAGATCATAAAGGGGTTTTCTCAGCTGATGCCGGTTATGTTTGAGGGCGGTGCGGATCCAATGGCAGCAGATGACTACCTGGATCAAGTTGAGACTCAACTAATTTCAATGGATGTGACGGAGGATCATTTGAAGATCATCCTAGCTACTTATAAGTTTGCTAAGGATGGCAAACTATGGTAAAAGTCGGTTACGAGCCGGTACAAGGTGGAGGAGATGAGTTGGGACAAGTTCAAGGAATTGTTTTATGAAAAGTACTTTCCGCTTTCCAAAAGATGGGAGTTACAAGACCAGTTTCATAACCTTATTCAAGGGAGCATGTCAGTGGTGGAAGATGAGAACAAGTTCACTTCACTTTCTCACTTTGCTCCAGAAATGGTGCGAGATGAAGTTAACAAGACTCGAAAGTTTTTTTCTGGTCTTAATGAGCGGATGAGGCCGTTGATCACGGCACAATTCATTAAGGTTTATTTTGAAGCAGTGGAAAGGGCTTTGATGCTGGAGGCTGATAATGAAGAGAAGGATGCAAGAAGAGAGCAGTTGAAGCAAAAGAGGGGTGTAGGGCCATCTTCAGAGGGATCTTCTTGGAAGAGGAACAAGAGTGGTTCATTTCAGTTTCAGGGGCAGCAGTCTGCACGATCCGCTCCTACCACTCCTTTGCCAGCTGGGTCTAATAAGAGTGGAGTCATTTGTTTTCAGTGCCAGCAGCCTGGACATTACAAGTCCAGATGTCCTATGAACTTGACCACAGTTTCTATGCCATCGAGAGCTTGTTACGGGTGTGGCCAGCAGGGCCATCTGATCTGAGATTGTCCTACTCGAGGAGCAGGCATCGGTAGTGGCAGAGGGTCATAGTAGAGGCCATCACAATCGGTTACAGTTCAGTCAGGTTTTAAACTACCGCCACCACCACAGCCTGTCGTGTCTTCTCAGGGTTCACGACCACCAAGAAGGGATACTCCTACTGTGTTGGCACAACAGTCTGGTGTTCAGATTAGTAGTTCACAGGCACAGACACCGCAGGGACGTGTCTTTGCACTTGCATCGACTGATGCATCTCCTGGATCTTCAGTTTTTTAAGGTATATTTCCAGTGTTTGGTTCTTGGGCCCGTGTTTTGTTTGACTCTGGTGCATCTCATTCTTTCATATCATCATCATTTGCACTTGCATCGGGGTTAGAGGTCAGTTTCATGGATCGGGCATTGTATGTTGATACGCTAGTTGGGGTTTCAGTGTCTTTGAGCCCAGTTGTGAGGGATTGTTCCATTGTGATAGCTGGACGGACTTTTGTGTTTGACCTTATCCTCCTGGAGATGACTAGCTTTAATGTCATTCTCGGGATGGATTGGTTAGTTTCCTTTCATGCCACGATCGACTGTTTTAGAGGTAGGTTTACAGTTTGTACTCCCGAGGGAGACTGTTTCTTTTTCGTAGCAGATCGGAGTGATTCCCACATTTCATCATTTTATGGAGTTCGTGGACGGAGTCGTGGTGATTATTTCTTGGCTAGTCTTCTAGCCGAAGAAGATGATGTTGTGAAAGAGGGTTACCCTATAGTTGTTCGCGATTTTCTGGATGTGTTTCTGGAGGATTTGATAGAGTTGCATCCACACCGAGAGGTGGAGTTTACTATTGATTTGATGCCTGGTACCATGCCGATTTTTATGGCACCGTATCGCATGACACCAATTGAGTTGGAAGAATTGAAGAAGTAGCTTGATGACCTGAGGATGAAAGGTTTCATCCGACCGAGTGTGTCACCATGGGGTGCACCGGTCTTGTTTGCTAAGAAGAAAGATGGTTCTTTGAGGTTGTGCATCGATTATCGGAAGTTGAATCGTGCCACCATCAAGAACAAGTATCCTTTGCCAAGAATAGATGATTTGTTTGATTAGTTGAGAAGAGCCTGTTATTTTTCGAAGATTGACTTGAGGTGAGGCTATTATCTGCTGAGAGGAGCCTGTTATTTTTCGAAGATTGACTTGAGGTCAGGCTATTATCAACTGCGGGTCAGGGATGAGGATATCCCAAAGACGGCATTTCGCACTCGGTATGGACATTATGAGTTCCTTGTTATGCGATTTGGCTTGACTAATGTGCCAGCGGCATTCATGGACTTGATGAACCGCGTCTTTCACTATTACTTGGACCAGTTTGTGGTAGTTTTCGTGGATGACATTCTCGTGTATTCACGATCTCAGGAGGAGCATGAAATCCATTTGAGTATTGTTTTACAGATTTTGCAGGAGCACCGATAGTATGCCAAATATGAGAAATGTGAGTTTAGGGTACAGGAGGTGAAATTTTTGGGGCATGTTGTTTCAGAAGGTGGAGTGTCAGTAGATCCATCAAAGATTGAAGCTGTTTTGCATTGGGAGCAACCCAAGAATGTGTTTGAGATCCGTAGTTTTCTTGGTCTAGCGGGTTACTATCGGAGATTTGTGAAGGATTTTTCTCATTTGGCAGCGCCTATGACCCATTTAACCCAGAAAGGGATCAAGTTTACGTGGAATGAAGCCTGTGAGTTATCTTTTCAGGAGTTGAAGACAAGGTTGACTACAGCTCTAGTGTTGGTCATACCTGAGCGTGGCTTGGGTTATGTGATTTATTGTGACACCTCACGTGATGGTTTGGGATGTGTGTTGGTGCAGGATGGTAGAGTAGTAGCTTATGGGTCTCGACAGTTGAAGACTCACGAGCTTAACTACCCTACTCATGATTTGGAGTTAGAGGCAGTTGTGTTTGTTTTGAAGTGTTGGAGACACTACTTGTATGGTGAGAGATTCGAGGTATACTCGAATCATAAGAGTCTCAAGTACCTTTTCTCCCAAAAGGACTTGAACAACAGACAGAGACAATGGGTTGAGTACTTGGAAGATTACAATTTTGACTTGCAATATCATCCGGGCAAGGCAAATGTGGTAGCAGATGCCTTAAGCCGGAAATCTCGTGGGACTCTGGCCTGTTTGGCTATTCGAAAGTGAAAGATGCTTAAGGATTTGGTAGAGATGGGATTGTATTGTTTTGATGACGATGTTGACAGCGAGCCGGCATTCTTATTTAGTCTTGTGACTCAGCCTACTCTTGTTGTACGAGTGATTGAGTCACAGAGACAGGACCCGGATTTAGATGCCATTTACGCTTTGATCTCCAGTGGTGAGACAATAAAAGATTGGGCCTTGCATGCAGATGGGGGTCTACGGTTCAGGGGTTTGTTGGTAGTTTCCACAGGTTGTCGTGAGGACGTCTTACGGGAGTTTCACACTTCCCGCTTTACAATTCATCCAGGGGGTACCAAGATGTATCACAATTTGAGACTTCAGTATTAGTGGAACGGGATGAAGAAAGATATTGCACAGTTTGTGGCTAGATGCCTTACCTGTCAGCAGGTGAAGGCCGAACATCAGAGACCAGCTGGTTTATTGCAACTATTGCCTGTAGCACAGTGGAAATGAGAATTTATCGCTATGGATTTTGTGACAGGTCTTCCAGAGTCACAGAGGGGCAATGAGGCCGTATGGGTCATCATTGACAGATTAACCAAGACGACTCACTTTTTACCTATTAAGGCAACAGATGATGTAGAGAAGCTTAGTGTTCTTTATGTGAAGGAGATTGTAAGGTTGCATGGAGTTCCAGTAACCATTGTTTCAGATAGGGATGCCAAGTTCACTTCGAAGTTTTGGGAAAGACTTCAAGCAACGTTTGGCTCAGCATTGCAACTTAGTACGGCATTCCATCCACAGATTGACGGTCAGTCGAAACGTACTATCCAGATTTTGGAGGATATGCTTCGTGCATGTGTGCTTGACTTGGGTGGTAGTTGGGAGGATCACCTTCCACTTATTGAGTTTGCCTACAACAACAGTTATCAGGCGAGCATTCAGATGGCTCCATTTGAGGCGTTGTATAGTAGACCTTGTAGGTCTCCTGTTTGTTGGACTGAGGTAAGTGAGACAACCGCCTTAGGACCCGACATTCTACTCGAGAGTACTGAGAAGATTAAGTTAATAAGACAGAGGTTACTTACAGCTCAGAGCCGACAGAAGAGTTATGCGGATAAGCGGAGACAGCCATTATCCTTTGAGGTGGGAGACCATGTTTTTCTACAGGTTTCTCCACGGAAGGGATTGATGAGATTCGAGAAAAGTGGCAAGTTGTCGCCACGCTTCATTGGACCGTTTGAAATTTTGGACCGTGTAGGAGAGGTTGCCTACAGACTTGTTTTGCCGCCACAGTTGGACAGGGTCCACAATATTTTTCATATATCGATGTTACGGAAGTACGAGCCAGATCCATCTCACATTTTGAGTTGGGTTGATGTAGACATTGATGAGGATGTTTCCTACGAGGAAGGACCAGTTCATATTCTTGACACACAACAGAAGTGTCACGACCCGACAATTCCAATAAAATCCTCAATTTATACAGATTCAAATACATCAAAATACACCCAGGATCACAAAAGAATGCCCTCTTTTACAAAAATTAATTCCCTCAAATATACAAAAATTCTCCAAATAAATAAAATAAATCCTACAATGCCAACTCTTCATCCTAAGCCCGTCTCTACGATCCCCGTCCATCTTTGGTACCTGAAACTGGAGGGTGGTGAGACAAAAGTCCCAGTAGAAAAAACCATAACAAGAATTTCATGGAGGTTTAACAAAACAGCTTCACAAAATAAATATATACAGACGAGTATAAACAAAATAAATATATATTTAATCAAAACATTTCATAAAACATTTAATCAAAACCTCCCCACGCCATTCAAGGTATAGAAAACCCTACACTGAAAATCATCAAGCCCCAAGCTCCGGCCTCCTCTGCAACTCTCGGCTCCTCTGTTTGCCGTCCATTCTCTCACTCTGTTTCTCTCTCTCTCTCTCTCATTTTTTTCTTAAAGTCTCTCTGCTCTCTTTCTTTATTTCTCTCATATTCTTTGTTTACTTCACAATGCAGACAATACACTCCATAAATAGGCAAATTCACAGACACACCCACGTGAACCCCCATTATTTTCCTTGTTCACACTGTCTACCACCCACGTGAACAAAACCAACGCCCAAGCAATTTTTGACCAAAAAATCAACCCGTGGGACCTACACTACATCATTACAATTTTTCTTCCTTTCCACGTTTTGCCTTGCTGCCCACTTTCCTTCGTCAGATGTAATAAATATATACATATATAATATATATACACACACATGTGACAAAAATCAAAATCCGTTACATTAATTCCTGTGGGCCCTGCAAAAGCCATCATCACCATCACATTTCCATTCTCATTTCTCTCTTCGGCCAACTGCATCCCACCTTCATCATTAGATAAGATACTATATATATATATATAACTATTACTACACTCCACTGAACTGAACTAAAAATATTAAAATTATAAATAATAATAAAATCATAAATTAAAAAAAATCAGAGTTATCACAATCTCCACCACTTAAAAAGAATTTCGTCCTCGAAATTCAGATCCAACAGCCTTCGTATACCCGAAAACACCAACAACCATAAAACCAAAATCCAAATCCTTACCCCAGGCAATGTGAGATATAATGATATGTAGGACGTTGTGGTAGCTGACAGTGCTAGTCACCCGCCCACACACTCCGTAACCGTTGTAGTAGCTAGTCGATGCGTCACCCGCCCACCCACAAAAGAAACAAACAATAACAAATCTGGGCTACCTTCCCAACCACACCAACCAACCATCTCAGTAGCTGCCGGTGAATGCTATTCGCCCACACACACCCGGCTACGAGTGGTAGCTCACCAGTACTACACACTC